GAGGATGCGATATCAAGTGGATTCTAGGTAAAGGATGGAAAGACGAGCAAAGAGTATCTCTTTCGGCAATTATTCATGGAACACAGCAATATGCCATGAATACTTGTCGAGCGAGATTACCTGTTCTACAGCACTTTACCAGTTTCTAGTAGGACGTTAAATTTAGAGTAGTTCATCACAGGATTCGTTGATTGCATAGAACCATTCAGTTTTAAAGTTATTTCCAAATAAATCTCAGAATCTATACAGGATAAACAATTTCATCCTGTATTAACCGTCCACTTGCTGTGGTGGGAATTTCTTACGATAACAACACCCATCAGACTGGAAGCACCAGGCCTGCCCCTGTCCAAGTGGGTATTAACGAGTTCAAACCCTGCCCGCGGGTAAGCGTGGTACCTACATACGCGCCCGTGAAAGTTTTTCCGGGTCAGTTGCTAACTCGAGAACGTGAGAAGCTAGAAGACAGGAATTTGGAGGGGATGTTTCCTGACAGTTCTGGCGGCCAGTCTGAAATTCTTTTAGCTAGAAGCATCTGCCGGAAAAACTAGCGCCGTTAGCGACAAAAATCTGCGGGGAGCTATGCAAAAAACGCATCTTCACACGGGCAGCTCTAGCGTTGGCTGATCATTTTCTCTTGTGTAAAGTGAGGATTTCTGGAGCTTTACTTGGATTGTATTTCAGTTTGGTAAGTAGAAGTAATGCCAATAAGCCCAAATGACATTGAAATTAACACTTTTCAAATGGAAACGAGGGAGCTGAAAGTAGGGTGAAAAATCAGCCCTTCATTTGACTCTCAAATTAGGAAGCAAGTAAAAAATCATTAGCGACACGCACTGAACGGGCCCGTGCGATCATGCGTTTTGGCAGTGTTTTGTGCTGTAATAAGATCACTCGAAATTCCGCTGGCTAGAAACTCTGGCATACTGGTCCTCCAATTTCGAGAAGTTAATTGTCCACGCTATACTTAAACAGGGAACATTCCCTTGAAATCCCGGGTTCCCAGCTTTCCCAGTTCCCGAGTTACCCAAATTACAGCCAGAAAATTTCGCGGGGCCGTACGTGGCAACCACGCATGACTGGGGGCTGGATTTGATAAATTTAAGTAGTAGATGAACTGGGAACGTTTAATGAAAGTTTCAATCCCCCAGCTTTCTTGGTTCCCGAGCGAGCAATTTTCGCGCCAGGAACCCTCACGGGGCCGAACGTGATAACCACGCGTAACGGGGAATTGAATTTAAAATCTTTGAATTCTATATGGACGGGGAACATAATCCCAAAATTTCAGCTTTCCAACTTTTCTGATTCCCAAGTTAGCGATTTTCCCGCCAAAACTTTGAGGCGTTCGTGCGTGGGGCCAAGACGTGCATGAGGATTGGTACTGCGGTCCTGGGTGGCACTTGGCCGGGAAACCCACTCGCAAATTTTTGGCGCCGGAGCTTGTTTGGTTGCCGAGTTGAAATACCCGGACAGACGCACACACATACACATACACACACACACACACACGCACACCGGGGTTGTCACAGTATGCGTTTTCGCATTTGCATATATGCAAAAACGCATAATCAGCAGTCCTTGGAAAAGTTGCCAGCTGCACAGATGGCGATCCAGATCGTACAAAATCTGTCCTGGGTGTTTTTTTCTCATTCACTTAATTCCATACAGTCGTTCAGGCAGGGCTGCTTTCTCTTTGCTCTATTAAAACTGCAGGGATGCCATCTAGTAATCCGTTTTGTCCATCTGTTGCCTCTAACTAAAAATCCAAGCTGTAAACCTAAAAGATATGTTGCAGGATTCCAGGTATACCAAGTCATCTCGAAATGCATTTAATCAGTAAATAAGACAAACGTATACATTACGAAAAAAACACATTATGCGTTAAATATCCCAGTTTGGGTTGAGAATGAAATATTGTCAAAACACCAAAAAATCAGATTACAAGTAACATGCCATCAAAGTTCATGCAATGGCAGCTGGTCGGTAATAAGATGCCTTGTCTAGTATAGTCAGGCTGGAGATGGAAACAACGTAAGCAGGCGATGAAATATTGGTTAACGAACTGGAGAAGCTACCAGCTATATAGTTGGAAAACTAGGCTGCGAATTACGCCTGATCTAGATGCCACATATACAATTGCTTAGTGACGCAAAAACTTAGTCTTAAAAAGTGCGACTTAGCTTTTTTACCAAAACTTCTGGATTATTTTGTTTGTTAACAGAAATCTGCATGTTCGATAAACGATGGATTTGGGTTCGAATCAATATTTCCGGGAGTTCTTCAAGGCCCGCTAGGCCTCATCAAATTGTACGGATATTCGCCTTTTGTTTTCGGACTGTATAACAAATTGGATCGATGTGGAATCGGATCGTGTGGTCCAGGAGTTGGTACGTGCCCGGCGCAGTAGACCTGAAAATTGATGAAATAGTTATACGACGCCAAAAACTGAGGTACTCATTAACAAGGAACACATCTGTAGAGGAAAGAAAACTCAGGGAAACTATGCAAAAACACAAATTAATGTGTCTATTTATATGACTAAAATTTTTGTATATTTTGTACTTGCACGTCTAAAATTCTAAAATTCATTGATGGGTGACCAAAAGATAGCAACTCTGATGGTTTTTCAGCAAATGTTTGTTGCTGGAACTTGCCACTGCTTGAATTACTTCCGAAAGTCTCTGCCTGTCACAGAAAATGAACTGTGAAAGAGATTTGACTTTGATCTTGACATAAGTCCTTGCTATAGCAGATAATGGAAATTACCTCAAGATCCTGGGTATCGTTTCTGTTGTTGTGATATGTCTTCAGCGACAGACGTGATCCGCATATCCAGCATTTGAAACAGCCCTAAAACCGAGAGCTTTTTGTGCAAAAAACTCATTTCTTGAACAAAGTACCTTTTTAACTCACATTTTTTTTACTAAAAGGCCGTATTTTCATTGAAATTGCTACGGATGAGTAATTAACCTACTACTAGCCATGGCGTCAGATTTTTTTTTAGGCTGGACATTGTCGAGAGGGGTATTTCGGAAGATATCTCAAAAAAAACGTCCAAAAAGTTTGGTTTACTAACTTGAGCGACAATGCTTGTCTTTTTACTCAATAATAATTAAAATACTAACGTTTTGGGAAAACGTATGGTACATATTACATCGAGCAGGCAATGGTACTAACTGGAGACATACAATTCAGGATTGAAGGGCCTGGCCTTAGCTGAGACTGGCGTGTGGGAACATCCCAGCAACATGTAATACTCACGCCGACTGTCTGAGCAGTCTTTATATTAGGAGAAGTGAAAAGATTACTTTATGGAAAAGCACGCCATCCTTGAGCGGACCAATTTTGTCGTTGAAATAAGTTGGTCGTTTACATCGAAAACAAGGCTCCTTCATTTTATTCCAATTAAATTGGATCTGAAAATGTGCAAAGCTACCGTTGCGTAATTGTCGCTACACGTTCCAGAGCTGTGGGCGCGAAATCTTAACGCTAAATCACAAGATCACCAAGAATGTACGAAATTATCTTACAGTATCCCGTGTTTACCAATACGATACTGCATCGCTGGTGCGATTCGTGTAGTGACAAGAAGGTTTCAGTCG